TAGATCTGGTAAAACATCTGGACCCCTACACAATATTGTATTATAATTTTAAGATGTTCTTGGATCCTGAAACATACCCTGGACCCTTAGGGTTAAGAGTCCTGCTTTTGATCCTTTTATATCTTTATTTCAACTGCTCTGTACATAGTTTTATTCTAAGTTAACTTGACTTGATAGAAGTAGGTTATATGTAAATGATAAATAACATTGTTTTTAGAGGTTTTGGGTACTGAGCAGTTGACCTCCATGTATTTGACAGCTAGGCAATGGGAAATGTTTTTGTTCACCACAAGAGGAACTTTTTTGGCCCTCATAATGATTAAATTGATGGGCTAATATAAATGGCTTTAGAGGCTATGGTGGCTCACACCTATAATCCCAACAATTTGTGGGCTGAGGCTGTTCTCTAAATACATGCATACATGCATACATACATACATACATGCATGCTGTGGAGTTTTGGTCCAATGATTTTCCAGGAAAAGCAACCTACAGATTTTGTTTTAACTTTTTTATTTATTTATTTTATTTTGGTGCAAATACCAGGGCCTAAAAGATGGAGGTCTTATGCTCTAAACACAATTGTCAGTAGATATTCAGTAAACCTATATGTTTATGACGTTTTAATGCCTCTTCTATGTGGTTTTTTGGAAAATCTTAAAGCTATGAACAGGCTTTGGAAATTATCTATAGCACTGCAAGGATAAAATCTATTATCTATAGCACTGCTTTAAAATCTGTTTCTGAAGTAAGGCATGAGCCATTGGCTTCTGCCCATCAGGGTTGCTGTTGACAGACGATTCTTCATGCTGGATCTCTAGTGGAAGTTCCTGAATTGGAGGCCTTGGCCAAGGCTTTGCTCTTGAGCCTCCATATGTAGAGGGTAGTATTTGCGTTTGTGGGCTTTGCAGGATACGATACTTGATTGTACTTGCCTTTGGAGATTTCTTGCTCTTTACTGTCCCCTTCAGATAGCAGAAGGGGAGGTTTAAGAAAAGTCCCTTAAGAGTGTTCCCAAAACTAATGGTCAAATTCATGCTGAGGAGAAATGTTTGCAGTAGCTATGACTTTCACTTCTTTTTCCCCTTCCCTCTTTGTAAGAGACAATTTGTAGTACATTTTGTCTAAGGGAGACATGACTACCCCCAAATTTTAAGGAATCTATTATATAAATTTTAGGAATCTATTATATATTTGAGTGGGAACCTGAGAATGCTATGGCATACAGACAAAATTAATTAAAATAACTGATAAATCAGTTGTAGGTTTAAATGGGATTTTCAAAATTAAAATGTAGGAGAATTTTGTTAATAAGCTCTGCTTTTTACTCTATCAAGTCTAGGAATGTGTTCCTTTGTGCAGTTTAAAACCACCATCACCTATGCCCTCTAGTGCTTATAGGATGAGTTTGACAATAAAATTGTGTTCCATGTTTCCTTCTTCTGCCCTAGTGACTGCTGAAATTCCTGGTGTGAGAGTTCTCTTAGTTGCTCTGATCCCAGCTTCCCTGAGCATTGGGAAAAGTGTGGCTTTACTTATTCTCCCATCTGGCTCTACAATGCTGTTGTGGGGCTGGAGAAACAATAAGTGCATCTCTGGGCAAATATGGCAGACTCCTGACAGTCAGCCCCTGGAAGCTAGGGCAGTTTATGCCCCAGCGCTGCCCAGGTATAGAATCCTGTCCTGAGGGTGTCTATCTGTAACAAGCCAAGGACATTATAGTTGACCCTTGAGCAACATGGGCATGAATTGTTAAAGTCTATTTATCTTGGCAGGGGTACCCAGGCTGGAGTGTAATGGCGCAATCTTGGCTCACTGTAATATCTGCCACCTGGGTTCAAGCAATTCTGCCTCAGCCTCTCAAGTAGCTGGGATTACAGGCATGCGCCACCACACCCAGCTAATTTTGTATTTTTAGGAGAGACAGGATTTCTCCATGTTGGTTTCTCCATGTTGGTCAGGCTGGTCTCGAACCCCCAATCTCAGGTGATCCGCCTGCTTTGACCTCCCAAAGTGCTGGTATTACAGGCATGAGCCACCGCGCCCAGCTAAGGTCTACTTATATGTGGATTTCCTTCCACCTGTGCTACCCTTGAGACAGTAAGACCGACTCCTTTCTCTTCCTTCTTAGCCTACTCAACATGAGTATGACGACAAGGGTGAAGGAAGGCCTTTATGGTGATCCAATTCTGCTTAGTAATAAATGTATTTTCTCTTATGATTTTCTTTTTTCTTTTCTGAGACGGAGTCTTGCTCTGTAGCCCAGGCTGGAGTGCAGAGGCATGATCTTGGCTCACTGCAACCTCCGCCTCTGGGTTCAAGTGATTCTCCTGCCTTAGCCTCACGAGTAGCTGGGACTACAGACACACACCAGTTTGCCTGGCTAATTATCATAGTTTTAGTAGAGATGGGGTTTCACCATGTTGGCCAGACTGGTCTCAAATTCCTGACTTCAGGTGATCCACCCACCTCAGCCTCCCAAAGTGCTGGGATTACAGGTGTGAGCCACCATGCCCTGCCATAATTTTCTTAATAACATTTTATTTTATCTAGCATATTTATTGTAAGAATACCATATAGCATGCATATAACATATAAAACATGTCTTATTTTGACTGACAGTATTAAATATGTGTTACTTAATATGGGCTGACCATTTATGTTATCAGCAAAGTTTCTAGTCAGCAGTAGCTATTAGTAAAATTTTGGGGGAGTCAAAAGTCATATGCTGATTTTTGACTGTGTGGAGCAGGGGTTGGCATCCCTAACCCCAGTGTTGTTGAAGGGTCAATTGTAATTTAAAATCTTCTCTTTCTTTTCTCATCCATACTCACTGAGTCGGCAGCTGGGGTGGAGGAGGTCATGTGGGGATTCTTATGGTCCCAGTGTGTCAGCACCTGTAGACCTCCCTTCTAGGAGTGGTATGCAAGATGCTGCTGGGATGGACATCAGCCAACCCCCAGGGTAGGGGCCAAGTTGCCGTTTGCTAGGTACGGGCAATTGGTTACCGTTCCAAAGCTCTCTGTGGTTGCAGTTCATTGTAATGGAGGATTCAGAGAGGGGCAGCCAACCCCAAGCCCCGTGAGCCTGGGACAGCTGTTTGTCCACTTGCGCAGGCTTTTGACAGAGCAGTAGCTTATTGCATGACAGCTTTTTAGGCACTCTCCCTTCTCACCACTTTACCTTTACTTTCTTCTTTTCCTAGTTTTCCCTTTCTCTGAATGAAGACAAGTGATGATTAGCTGCCCCTTTTTTCGGCGGACACATTTGGCATCGTAGAGGAACATGGTACAAAACAATCGTTCATTTAAGATTTCTGTATGTGTCACAAATAGCTTTTCAAGTTTCACATGTCAAAATAGATAGATCATCAGGGAAAAGTAAAAAAAAAAAAAGCATTCACTTTTTATAGTAGACACAATTTTAATAACAAAACTTTCCTGTACACTGCTCTTTATGTTACCCTCCCCCTCCCAAAACCCCCTGCATAATAGTATTTTTTCCCACCCTCAACCCATCTGCCCACCTCCCACCCAAAAAGAAAAATGGCTCTTGAAGGTGATTGAACACAATGTATTTGGACTGTACTTTGAGTTTCCAGTCTCAGTGTTGATAGGAAGGTTCACCAAACATTCCATATATCAGTGTTGATAGGAAAGTTCACCAAACATTCCATATATCAGACTTAAAACAAAAAAACAACCCACTGAGGACAAAAATGTTAGTTGAAAGAGTTGTAGAAGTTTCCAAATGTTTGCAATAGCAGAATGAAAGCTTGGACAGTCATTTTCTATTTATTTTTGGCCTTATTCAAGTACTATGAGTTTGCTCCAGGTTAGAGAAATTTTTAATTATCTATGTAGATGGCCTTATTGTCTCTTTTCTTGTCTTTTCCTGGTTCAAGGGCTTTAACCAATAAGATATGAAAAGTATGTCCCAAAATAGACTTTTCAGATAGGTCTGTTGCTGTATTGCTGTATTAGGAAAACGATCATGTAAGTCAGCTGTTAAAAATATTCTTTAACAAATTTTATATTGATATCCACACTTCAGAAAAAGAACAGGACATTTATAGCTTTTTCCCCTGATAGCTGTGTGTAGGAAGTGTGCCTTAAGAAAATGAAATGCCTGTTTTGAATTTTAGAATTCAAACCTAGTGCTACATGGGGCTCATTTTTATTGGAAAGATGGAGTCTAGCTCTTGGTGACTAGCATTAGAATAAGCAGATGGATTTTAATAATTAGTGGCGTTGGGAAGTTCAGTCAATTCCATTTATTGAATTGGTACAGAAATTAACTTAGGCACATTAAGAAATTACATGTGTTAGTACAGATTTTTGGCTTAAAAATTAGTATCTTTGCTTTTTGATGCTGGCAGTGGGTATTCTCAGAGTTGTGTGTGGATTTGCAAGTTTATCAGCCCACCCTTTTCAGAAAGGTGATTGAAATCCCTGGCAAGCTACAGAAATGAATATAAACGATTTCAAACTAGTTCTTGGTTTCTCGGTGGGTATGGTATCATAGTCTTCTTTAGCTTTCCTAGTTCCAGAGAGGTTAATTATTTTTCTGGTTCTTAACGGTCATTTTCCTCTAATCTTAAAAATAGAAAAAAAAAATATAGAATAAGGATATAAAGAAAATATTTTCATACAGCTGTACAATATATTTGTGTTTTAAACTATTAATGTGTTACCATCAGAGTCAAAAAAAAAAAAAAAAAAAAAAAAAAAAAAATGGAATGGGTGGTGGTGGTGAAGAGGATAAAACCCCACCAAAAAACAAAAGCCCTGACACTGTGTAACCAAGATCTGCAGCACTGCTGTGATCCTGCTCCGTTCTAGCCAGTTGGTAAAGAAAGCACAGATGACTAACAGTCTAATCTTCAAACCTGTGCTGATTCTGAAACACAAATGGACAAAAATTAAAGGAAATCTTGCCTTCTATAGGCAATTAAAAAGGGAAATTTTTGCTTTAAGTGAAAAAGGAAAATGCCTTTTTGGTACTATTGTCATTCACTTTTCTTAAAGGGCATCACCAAAAAAAAAATGGAGGGCAAAAAATTTTGATTTTTTTCAACTGGAAAGTATGCCTCGCTAGCCTTGGCTATGTTGTTCCTCTGAATTAGTAAATGGCTTGCTTTCCAATTTGCTTTTCTCCATACACTAAGGATTTTGCCAGTTACAGTCCCTTAAGGATTAAGGTGGAGATTCCTAGCCAAAAAGGGGGTTTCTTCCCCATCCCACAGTTTGAATCTTAATTTTGGTTGTGGTTTGAAATGATGGGAAAGACTCTGCTGCTGTCCTTCAGGGTTGATGGAATCTTGTGTGTGCAGGACACAGTTCTGTTGTGACCAGGCCGTCTGTCACCTGACAAATGGCTGTGGTCACCCTGATAAATGGGTTGGTAAATTTTTGCTCATGGAACTCTTATTTGTAATAGGGGCTTCTAATTCACCCTGTCTGTGGGGAAGTAGGATGCTGTGCTCTATGCTGTTAAATCAGCTTCTGTCTCTGCCCAGACAAGCCCAGGGTCTGGTTTAACAAGAGACGAAAATACTCACCGCTCGAGATCAACTGAATTGAACTGGGCTGAGACTTTGGCAAACTAATCTGCCCACCTTAAAAATGCAGAGAACATATTGTTACTGTAATTTGTGATCTTGTCTGCTTTTTACTGAGATATGTTAGGTGAAGGGTAGTAAGGTACCCATCTCTTATTATTAAAGAAGAAAAATTATGATTAAATCTTATGGATTAAACAGTAGTCTGTTATTTTCAGTTCAATCCTGGGAAGAACATATGTCCTGAATGAAGGATATCGTGTTGACGTTAGGGGAAAGATCACTTTTAAAATGGTAGTGTTTTTTCCCTAAGATATTATGCCTTTTTTCTACATACAGTAAATGGCAGTTGTAAAAAACAGTAATTTTCTAAAATCAAGTTAGTGCTGTAATTTTACAGTTTTTTGAATATATGGAACGATGTTTATGAAAAAATTCTGTGTGAATGAGAAGCTTGCATCTAAATTCCAAATATGTAATAGACTTTCTGTAGAAATCATAATTGAAGAAACTGAGTGCCTGTGATTCTCTTTTGCATGAAAACTGTGGCATTCTTATCATTTGTTAATTATGGAATGTTTATATTTACATTGGAGAATCTACCCCCTTTCCCTTTTCAGCAGCAGGTCCTTTCCCTGTTTGGTACAGATTGTGTATAATCATTCTTGGCTGTCTTGTAACTCCAGCCAACCTGAGAGTCAGATTTCAAAATCTGCCTTTCCTTTTAATCCCTCACCTCTGTGCAGCCTTCAGGTTACCACCGTGTGGCTGCATAGCCATGTCGAGTTGTTCTACCATGAGAGTCACCTCAGTGTTTCTTCAACTACACTGAACTGCACTTACAGTGTGAATGCGTATCTTTATTGAAAGATCAAAATTTATTATATAATAGTTAGAAAGTGCTTTTTCTCCTGGTTCCTTTATAATACAACAAGAATCAGTGTTACGCCTGTTGCTAGCCAATTATTTTTAACTTGGCTCTTTGAGGTTTGAAGATCAGGAAAAAGCAGAAGAAAGAGGTTTAAACCCCTTTGTCAAGGCATCTTTGATCATGATAGTTGAGAGAGAGAGAGAGAGAGAGAGTGTGTGTGTGTGTGTGTGTGTATTGTGTATGTGTGCTTTTACATTGGAGGGAGCATGTCAGGATTGTTAAATTGACTCAGTTTGTCTTATCTCCAAAATATTTTCTAAATCTTTTTTCACATATTAATGTAAACATAGGATTTAGTAAGTTAGTACAATGACAATTTAATACTAGTTTTAAACAATTGCCTAAATGCCACAAAAATCATGTCCATTATAAGTCAAACTAGAAATGTATGATAAGAAGTCGGTGTAATTATTTAGTATTGATTTCATTGTAATGAGACCTTTTCACAGTCACTTGGATTCATTGTGTAAATATATTAAAGAGTCACTCAGCTTATTAGAATTAAATTAAAGGGTTCTGCTTTCATGATATGGACTTTTGATAATATCTACTAACCCAGGCAAAAACTCTGGAAGAAGAATGTTTAATATTTACCAGTCTTTAGCATACATGAAATTCTACTTCCCACACTGGCAGCAAATTGAAGATTTGAGTAAATACCAAATTATCATACAAGAGAACTTTACTAAGTCTCCTTTTAAGCAGCAAGATAGTTGTGGTACATGGGATGGAGAGCAATGATCAAACAGGTATTGATCCATATCTGTTTCTGCCCAATACTTCTTTCTAAATTGTTTTCAGTAGAAAAAAATAGCATATGGAGACCTTAGTGTAAAGGTTTACACACAGTTGTATATAATTACATACATTTCTTATTTTGAAGTAAGCATTTTAGACTTTCCAACAGGAGTGCAAATTAATGTGAGCATTGATTCATTTAACACTTAAAATATGGTTCCATTTAAAAAATTAAAAATACTTCAACACTTCAAAAACTAAGTCTCCACTTAGTTTGGAAAATTAGGCTTAATGTCACCATTGGTAAAAATTAGATATGTATTTAGCCTCTACTATGTAAAATAGGTTACTTATCTGATGTGATTTTTGATGACGGGTAGATATTATACTTCACATTCTTTGTATGGCAGCTGCTGACACTTGCACTGTCCATAACCATTAATGATGATGAAGGGTCCTTCATGGGTGGGTTCATATTCATTATACGGTCCTTGGTCTGACATGTTTGACATATGGAGTCGTGTTTGGGATCGGAGCTGCCTGTGGTTCTGAACCATTGAGCACTGCCTAATTCTTCTTAAAGTGGGAGGGCAGCACTTCCTGGAGATGAACACTATAAAAATAATAAAAAAGAAAGAAAACAATAAAGCCATTGTTCCCGTAATTACCCGCTGAGTGAAGATGGCATTGTCTGGTTCAGGAAAGTGTTCCTCAGTAGTAACTGCTATGCCTGCAGTAGTTGGGATTTCTTTGTCTCCCACATGGTAACTTGATGAGCTTATTCTTTTTGTATATTCAGTGGTTGGATCTCTGTAAGTTGTAGCCATGACAGTCACAGTGGTTGACAAATTCCAGCAGAGCTGAAATCCATGGACTGCATCTAGAATATCCTCTCCTTGGGTGTGGTCAGGACTGTGGCATAGGATAGAGTGCTCCCACCGACCTTGGAAACTGCCCAGCCAGGAGGCCAGAGCACATATTCGGGCACTGCATTCCCACAGATTGCCAGAGAGGCCAACGGTTGTGAGGGATCTCAGGGAGTTTAAGATCTTGGAATCAAGGCTGTTTAACTTGTTGTTATCCATGAGGAGTATTTTAAGATTAGGCATCGTTTCAAACACTGTCAAGTCGATGGCTTTGATTTCATTTCCAGTCAGGTCTAGCTTTTCTAAAGTGCCCCAGGTCCACTCCATCCCACATGTCAAGTTGCTGATTTTGTTCCATTGTAAGAAGAGTGTGTGCAGACTGCTTAGCCGTAGGAAATGAGCAAAATTAATCTTCGTCAGCTGGTTGTGCTCTAGGTGAAGCTCTCTCAGTTTGATTAATCCTGCAAATCCATTGCGAGCCAAACTTCGCAAACGGTTTGTGCTCAAATCCAGAAACTCCAGACTACGACAGTCCCAGAACAGGCGTACTGGGATAGTCCGCAGGGAGTTGGAACGTAAATGCAAGGTCTGCAGCTTCCGAAGGCCATAGAAGAGCTCTGGGTGCAGAGATGACAGCTGATTAAAAGACAGGTCCAAATTTTGCAGGTTAATCAGTTGGGTAAAAGTTGTGTTTGGCAAGTAAAATATTTTGTTGGAACTTAAGATTAATTCCTTAAGTTTATATAGTCCTTGAAAAGCATCTTCTTTTACTGTTGAAATTTGATTGTGATCTAAGTGGAGCCAGGTAAGTTGACTGAAGCTGGCAAATTGATCTCTTTCGAGCTCTGTGATGTGATTGTGCCTCAGGGACAGGCCCAGAGAGCCCTTGTCTGTCGTGTTTGGCACTGAGCGGAAGCCCTGAGAGTCGCAGTAGAAGAGCAGCTTCTCGCAGCGGCATTTGGGTGGACACGCCATACCCAGGGCAGGCAGCATTTTTAAAACCATGCTCATTGCATATATTGCTGCCAGCATAGGGGCCCCTAATGGCCACTTGAAATGTAAGCCTGCAGAATATAATTTAAGGAAAACAAGAAAATAGGATATTTTTCAGCAGAACATATGGGCTATTTAAAAAAAAAAAAAAAAAGAAACCAACATTACAGCAAAAGATTTCACTGCATATAACTTAATTTTCATTTACTGCAGAAAAATTAACCTTATCAGTATGACTGCAACAAAACTTAAACCATTTAGAAAGAAGATAAAACATGTCTCTAGTAGCATCAGCATTATATGCTTTTGCCTAAACCTCAGAATCCAAAATATGACAGTGATTTCCCTCATAAAATGTGAATTCAGTAGCTTATTTTGAAAGCGTGATTCCTTGTTGAATGTACAAGACATATAAATGCACAGACTTACCCATTCTTCTGAGCACATTGGAGGCTGCATTCAGTCGCGGTTGTTAGACTCAACGCAGTGAGTCTGTAAAAGGCTCTAACATGTAGGAGCCTTTGACCAGTTTCCTGTTTTCTGTGTCTCAGGGTTTCCAAGTAAAATTGAATCCACCAGGATGAGTTGTTTTTTTCCTTAGGATATTCCTCTGGAAAGCATTGGTTTCATTTTCTGTGATTGCTCTGATCCTTAAATCAGTTTTGAATATAAGTTACTAAATTTCTCCACCTCTAACTGCTCAGCTGGTTAATCAAAGCTTCAGTCTCCTTTCCGCAGCCGTTAGTTCCTTGGTCTTAACTTGTTGATGGCAGATGGGTGGCTTGTTGCAGAGAAGAGCTCCTGGAGCAGCATGAGTGCATTTACTGAAAAGCTTTTCCGAGAAACGGCACAAGAATGGATTTGCTTATGTGCTGCGACCACACAGAACTGTATATAGGCTGACGTCACCGGATGACGTGTCTTTTGTTTGGGTTTTCCAGAAGCTTTACTGTTATAAAGCACTGTGCTTTGTAACCGCATCAGGGTCGTTGCAAGACCCCCTGATTACAATAAAGCGAGAAAGAAGAAGTCCTGACATAAAAACATGGTATTCCTTCAGTGTAGGAAGCAGCAGTGAGGTTGTAATAAAGGCTGCATTCAAGAAGACCCATCTGAACAGTGAGTTGGGTTAGCAGAGTGATGATTTTTAATGCTTGTGAGAGCCAGTGTTAGACTGCCGATTCTGCATAGAGAGATCATCTAAATGGGCAGAAGCCTGCACGATTTATGAAGTGCTGATTTAACACCAGCCTATGCAAGGTAGTGCCGCTGCTCTGGTAGTTTGGAAAGCTACTCAGTTGCCTTGTTGTCATGCTTGATTAAAATAGAAGTGTGACTATAATTTGCTTTAGATGTGTTGATAAACTAGCTAAGTGGGCTTGGCTTCTTTGTTGCCAAGAGCTTAACATTATAAACCAAGAATTAAGGGGGAGGGGAAGCTTGCAAAACAATGCATGTGGTTATTTTTTTCTTTGAGAATTTCAGGGGAACTCTAACTCTAAAAAGATTTTCTTTCTGTCTCCTAATTGATAACAATGTTTTGTCGCCATACTCTTTGAAAAATAATGCTGAGTTGATCTTTAAATGTCCTCTTGGGAGGACAAGGCAGGTTGATACAGTCATTTTAATGCACATGCCCTAAGCATTAACAGTGAAGCAGAGATGATTTAGGACAAGTGATACGGTGTAGGTGGATTCTGACATGGTCTCTTGTATTTACCTCAGAGTCTCACCTACTCCATAACTAAAAGCCTCCGCTGGTACTGAGGTTGGTGGTTGTGACACTGAAATAATAGAGCATTTGCACACTAGTTCCCACTGACTGACTTAACTGAGCCTCCTACTGTTGTTGGAACCTGTCTTGTGAATACAAAAGGTCACTCATGCTTTGGACTGGGATTTTTGTTTTGGCATGTTTTTGCTTGCCCTAACTCTGGTTTTTCCCTGTTGAATGGTGTCATCACTTTTCAGACCTCACTTATGGATGTATTAGCTCCATGTTTAGTGTTATATAAACGCAAAAGATGTTTCTAGATGAATCAGTGTTATATTTTCAGGCCTGACAAAGGTAAGGCCTTTCATACATCTTGCCTTATTGATTTGATCCAACATACCTATTTCTCCCATATCGTTGGCGCTTATCATTTGTGGGTCTTGTCTCGGACCTGAGGACCGAAATCTTTAAAACTACTGGTGTTGTCTGTGAAACAAGAACATTGTTGCAGAATATAATTTATTGTACAGAATATAATTTAAGGACAACAAGAATATAATACATTATATTCTAAATTATATTTTAAAGAACATTGTTGGCCTTTTCAGTTCTGAGGGATTCATCCCACTGGGCAGATCTAAGAAGTAATTAATTGTCTTGGGTAAAATTTTTCTGTTGTAGTGTTGTGCTGGAGTGAGAGGTGTGTCTCCAAGGCCCTTCCTTAGGACACTGTGTAAAGGTGCTGTGAAAACTGCAGCAATGCAGGTGTGTGGTTTGAGTCCTCCTAGAAGTGATTCCAAGACACAGAAGGCAGTAGGAATGCTCTGAGAGTCTTCATACCACAGGGCAGGTCTGATACCTGTGAAGGGAGAGGGGAAGCAAAGAAGATGAGATGGTTCTTAGACAAATTTTATGGCTGAATGGAAATTTCTAAGCTGAAGTTGCCAGAGAACAGACTCTTGGGTCCTTAGCAATGAGCCTGTACTAGTAAGTACGTCCTCTCTGTTCCTTCTTGCTGGTTAAAGAAGGGAAGGAAGTCAGGCACCATGGCTCAGACCTGTAATCCCAGCATTTTGGGAGGTCGAGGCAGGCAGATCCACAAGATCAGGAGTTCAAGACCAGCTTGGCCAACATGGGAAAACCCTGTCTCTACTAAAAATACAAAAATAAATTAGCTGGGCACAGTGACGGGCGCCTGTAATCCCAGCTACTTGGGAAGCTGAGGCAGGACAATTGCTTAAACCCAGTTGGTGGAGGTTGCAGTGAGCCGAGATTGCTCCACTGCACTCCAGCCTGGGAGACAGAGCAAGACTCCATCTTGAGAAGAAGAAAAAAAAAAAAAGAAGGGAAGGAAACAACAGGTCCTGGTTTAGACCCCGAGAATGCTACTCCCCCTCTGACCTTAATCCTTTCTATAGTCTTTCTCAGTAGGCTAGAACTTCTTAACCTGGTTCCATAAACTGTCTGGTGACATTTTTTTTGCTTGTTCATTTTTCTGTGGATAAGGTTGAGTCAGATTCCTACAGGGTCTCTCATCCTAGGTTTCAGAGCTACTGTTCTACAGAACTTGCCCCCAAAAGTTCTAAGGACAGTAGTCTAATAGGAGTGGTCTGTCTTAAATTTCTGAAATGAAAATAAGCCCTTGGGATGTTGTAAATGCCCTTATCGAAGTTAGCCACCTTCTGATGAAAAAAACCCTTTGCCACACAGGAGAAGCTGGATTAAATTCTTCTCTCAATTAACCACTGTAGTTCCATGGGGAGAAAAGCATTTTAGTCAGGGTTAGAGCCACCATGATTAGGAATGAGTTGTGTGTTAACATGAAGGAGGAAGAGCATCTCCTTCTCCTTAAACTCTTGGATTTTAGTTTACTAAGCCTACCTCTTATATACTAATAAATGGAAACTACTTAAATAATATTATCTGAGTACCATCATAACAGATTTGTGGGCAAGGAAAATTGCCCAGAGAAGCAATCAAGAGTAATTGTTTTTTGATTGCCTCTAAAGAAGTGGGGAGTAATGCTTGTGGTATCATGATGTCCAGAGAGCACAGCCCCTTCCAGGTCACAGGCCATCTTTCTGACCTGCCCACTCTGGATTCAAGAGGTTCAGGCTGTGGAACCAAAGAAGACATGGAGTTTGCCTTAAAATTGGTAGAGTACAGAGTCTCCATTGATGGCATTTTATATCATTTTTTCGTCTTTATCTTTCTTTAGCTAAAAGGGCTAAATAGATGTACCTGTTCTTTCTAAACTTTTTCTTGGTTTCACTGTAGAGCAGCTTTCTTCCACAAACATACGCCTTGACTTAAAGTGGCAGTACTACTTCTGGAAGGTACTGTCCATATGATCTGTTTCAATTTTCACTGTTTTAGATGTTCATGATAAGGCAAAGGAGAAGTAAAATCTAACCCATCTCCTATCTGTAAATGGTTTTAAGCAAATTAAATGAGTCAAGCGGCAAGGCTTAGGTGGCTGTAGTTGTTTGCATTCATCCACATGAGAGTTTGCTTTTGATATGTATTGCTGATTAGGGCCTTATTCCCCAACTCAGAGAAGCAAATGTACAGATATATTCATGAAATTTTCTATTCTCCTGTGGGAGGGAAGGTAGAGAGGGAACTTTATATTTGCTTTATGCTAAAAAGGCAAATGTTTCTTTCATCATACCCAACTCCAAGAATTGTGTATGCCCTGGCACCAAAGTCTTGCCTAGAAGTGTTTTGAAGAAGCTTGTTAAAATAAACCTTGTTGCTGGCAGTCTCAATCCCTGTTTAAAAAAAAAAAAAAAAAAGGTAGCCATTTTTAGGGTGGAGGTCCTAGATTTTATGAGTCTTATGTCCTCTGCTAAGAACGTTTTGAGGTTTTAACTGGTAACCACATGCTTAGGCTTATATTATAGCCAGACTTGTATTAGAGTAAGTAGGTTTCACTAGCTTGTCTTTTTTGAAGGAGAAGTCCACATTAGACTACCAGAATCTGCATTTTTTGCCTGGATCCTTGTCTCCATCCCTGCCTTCTGTTGATTTTATTTTGTTTTTTGTTGTTATTGTTTTACAGAGTCTTTCCTCTGTCACCCAGGCTGGAGTGCAGAGGCACGATAATAGCTCACTGTAACCTTGAACTCCTGTCTCAAGTGATTCTCCAGCGTAGCTAGGATTACAGGCACATGCCACCATACCCAGCTGATTTAAAATTTTTTTTTTGTTAGAGACAGGGGTTGGGGGTAGGGTCTCACTGTGTTGCCTAGGCTGGTTTCAAGAGATCTTCTCGCCTTGGCCTCCCAAAGTTTCTGGGATTACAGGTGTCAACCACTGTGCCAACCGATTTTGATTTTTAAGGTCCTTTTGTTATCTTGTTAGTAAACACAATTGAGAAAGCAGTAGAAAGGGATTCTGGTTACATTAACAATGGTACGCGTTGTTTCTTTGGATGCACCTTATACATTTTGGGATATATCCTTCTGGCTTTGGAAACGTGCACTTCAGCAGTTGTTGCTATTGGGGAGGTTTCAGGGTCAGAATCCTGTGACAGCCTGCTTCTCTTGTATTCTCTGTCCAGGGCTAGATAATTCAGCAGGAAATCTTGGAGCAGTGAGTTTAAGTTGGACATTAGGTTACGAAAGATCTTCCATAGAGGTTTGGACAGATGAATGTTTATACTATGGAGATCTTTTATTTTTCCTATTATAGACATCAAAACAAAAATAACAGAAGCAATCTTGAAGTTTTTATGTGTGTTTGTTTCTTTATTTGCTTTTGAGACAGGGTCTCTGTTGCCCAGGTTAGACTACAGTGGCGTGATCATGGCCCACTGCAGCCTTGGCCTCCCAGGCTCCATTGATCCTCCCACCTTAGCTTCCCAAATAGCTGGGACTACAGGTGCATATCACCATGCCCGGCTAATTTTTTTGTAGAGATGGGGTTTTGCCATGTTGCCCAGGCTGGTCTTGAACTCCTGGGCCCAGGGTATCTGCCTACTTCAGCCTCCCAAATCTTGAAGTGTTGATTAAAGCATAGACTAAAATTTTTTATGACAACCCCTCTTTTTAAATTCTCTGCTAGTGGCTTCATTGTGTTCATGTTTCCCGTTTACTCTCTGTGTGGCATGCTTCATCTTTTATTCTGAAATAAATACATAGTTAAG